AACATTTTGAACAATAAATAATATCATTTTAATATCAATTCATTCGTCAAATGATAAAATTTAACATGTATACATATATGAAACACTATATAGAAAAAGACAACCATATGTACCGACAAAAAAAAAAAAGTGAACCACAAAATATATACCCAAAACCATCAAAAATAAATATCTGAAAATCCAATACAAAAAAAAAAAAAAATATGTCCACAAAATCACAGAATACAAAAACAAACTAACTAGGAGTAAATGGTTTCCTAGCCTTGCGGTTTCGGGACCCTCTCCGAGGCCCCGGTTGCAAAGAAGACGATCCTGCGGTCGGTCCAGGCGTGGTTGGTTCTTCTTCTTCTTGTCCATCTAATTAATTAATTTTTGTAAAAAATCAATAATTCGACCGGACAAATAAATAAAAAGAAACAAAAAAAATATATATATTTGTAGTTAAAAAAAAAATCTCACCTTCTTCGTGGTCACGGCGTCTTCTCCCTCCACCAATGTGGGGCGCCGGTCTATGCCTCGCCCGTTGAGAATGTGTATGCTGGGGTGGGGCGTACTCATCTTGAGATAGAATTTGCTCCGACGACGCCCCTTGTGTGACGGACTGACCCCCAACAGTCAGAGAAGCGTACAGAAGTTCCTGGGCTTGCTGGAACTGTGACTGCGCTCGGGGAGGTAGCGTATCAATGTCTTCAATGTTCGTTAGCACGTTATACGCCACCTCCGTACCCGAAAACTGCAAAATTAAATTCAAATAACTATCAAATATTAAAAATAATAATAATAATAATAATAATAATTACTTCATTGAAGACAGTTACCTGACACTTCTCCCGGTCGGCATATGGCTGAAACCCGCCGTCCTGTGAGATCGCCGCGTAGTTGTTGGGGTCATTGAGTAGTCTCACAGTCCTACTGTGATACCAATCAATGTACCCATCTGCAGGCTGCAGGAAGGGATCCACCGGGACATCTTGGAGGACGTTCTGATCTCTCTCTTCGGTCCAGATCCTCCTAAGATCAGCATGGAAGGCCTGCCAATCGGTGTATGCCCTCCCAGTCATGCCCTGGCCCTTGTGGCGGGTGTCCCAGTCGGCCAGACTAGTAATGAGCGGCTGTTGGGGGATGGGCTGGTGGCACCGAAACTGGCGGAGCACCCTATCAGTCTCGTGGGGTTCTGCGATGTTCCAGCAGAAGATCCACCCCTTGTACATCCAGAGATGTCGGTCTTGTGTGCACACTTCAGGGAGCCGACCCTCGTCTATGTACGTCTGATAGGGTACCCAATCGAACTGTGAAAAAAAAACATTTATAGAATTATTAATAAATTTAATAAAAAATAAGATTAAAAAAAATAATAATTATTCATTATTATGACCTAAGAAACTTACATCAGTCTCTCTCAGGCCACTCAGCTGATCTCGGATGGCAGCCGTGCCCGTCACCAGGTGTCTCATGTCCCTCGATCCCACCCACCTTAAAAATCACAGAAAAAGTTTTATTTGGAATTACAAATTTTGATAATTGAAATAACTTAAGTGTTGAATATAAATAAATGTTATTATTACCTTGCACCCAAAGGACAACCCGCCTGAGAGCCGAAATGTGTTCTTGTCATTAATGGGCGAACACGAGGGATGCGTTCCCATGCCCAAACCTGCACATATGGACATATACATTTTTTAGCACATANNA